CTCTCTCTCTCTCTCTCTCTCTCTCTCTCTCTCTCTCTCTCTCTCTCTCTCTCTCTCTCTCTCTCTCTCTCTCTCTCTCTCTCTCTCTCCAGCACTCTACCATCGCCTTCTCCAGCACTAGCGCGCCAATGCAGCGCTCCAGCATCAAGCAGCACGAAGCAGGATGAATGACCCAACTCGTGCAGGCCACTCTTCTGTAGGGTTTACTCAGCCTGGGAAAACCAAGAAAACCAAAACAGAGGGGGAGCGAGAGACAGGGAGAGGGAGGTAAGGCAGAAGCATGTCTACCCGAAGATCTGCAGAATGAGCTCTATCTCCTCTTCACTTGGTGGTACCAAGATCTGCACACACAAGACACAACCTCAGGACTCGAACGAGGCTGACAGGAATATCCAAGTCCAGAACGCATTGCAACAGACATGCAACAACCACGTCTCTCTCTCTCTCTCTCTCTCTCTCTCTCTCTCTCTCTCTCACACACACACACACACACACACACACACACACACACACACACACGGACTTTCTCCTGATGAGTCTGTGAAAGTCCACCAAAACCTTCTGGCACACACACTCTCGCTTAGATGTGGCGTTGTGTATAGCGAACATGACCACCCACACGCGGCCACACGAACACACACACGTACACACACAGAGGCATACACAGGAATGTACAGCATACTACGACGCACATTCCTTCACCTGCCACCCCTCACACATACACAATACAGACACTTTGTGGAGGAGGGCATGCCCACACTACTACTTTGCAGAATGTATGAACCCGCTTTCCTGCCCGAAGTTCAGTTTCGATGTTTTTTTTCCTTTTTCTTCTTCTGTGGACCTGACACCTCTGCTGTAACGCCCTCACTGACAGCATACTCGCACAACTACTTTCGGGTAGGTATCTACCTGGTATCACGTCCAAAGGGGTGTTCGTTTTTTCTCTTTTTGTTTTCTATGGATGTGAGCGCGTCGCTAAAACTCCGTGCCTGTTCTTTTTTTTAAGTCTGGCCGTCTTTTTCTTTCATCTTTCTTTAGAAGAGAACCAGGAAAAAAAAAAAAAGAACAGAACCCAGGCTCGGCAAAACTCGGCTCGCAGTGAAAATCAGGGTCGGCAAAAACAGGCTCGGGTAGGTAGTGGTGGTTTAAGAAAATTAAAAATTTACTTCCCTCAGGACAGTCGTGAACGCATCTCTTACACTCTGACTTGTCCACGATACTCATAGAGTCATACTGCTAAATATAGCCATAGAGAACTGACCGGTGACCCATAGGCAGAAAGGAAGAAACGGACAAGAAACAGGGGGACACGACGGACCATTTCATTTGGGTTTCACCGATGCATCAGGACACTGAACCCTCTTCAGTCTGCACACGACTCTGCAGAGTTACCTTTTTTTTTTTT